GGGGGGGGGGGATACCAATCCGCAACCTGATGTTTATTGAACACAGCAATGTGTCAAATGCAAAGGAAGACGGAACTCGCGTGTGCTGTGCCTTCCAACCCTAGCTAAGGACCTTAAATGACTTCAACCGACTAAGGTGGCTTTTCACAGAGTTCAGATCATTATTAACTCGAAGCATCAAGTCAATCTTGTATAAATCTCGAATTGCAAAGCGTACGAAGTTACACACACCATTGTGCCCTTATGAGTGAGATTCCCTCTGAGCCTCCAACGGAATCCATACAGGTCAATGTTCTAGATTTTCCCCTGCGATTCTTTGGCTATCTCAAGCAAGTGGCTTAAAAATACATAGTGTAGATCTTCTTATGGCTGACTACGGTTTGATGAATGTTTGACAAAGAAGGCTGAGTTACTGGGGTTTACACGACGACCATCTATCTTCAACGTATGTGCAGGTAGGCTTAAAACAACCTTAATTCCTAACTTTTAACACAGGGCAGTATGCGCAACGTGAGTTCCCGCAATTTTGGCAGGATTCTAGTCGCAAGGGATTTCCACTCTGCTGACAGCGGCACTGGTATTGATGATTAATTTACACTCAAGTCTAAGGTAGATATGAAGATGTGGAAGGGATACGCACACACGACCACACATACGCCTGTTTCCGTTTTGGTCCATGATTGAACGGCTCAGCTATAATCCATTTGGGATTGTCCAAGCCGTCCATTCCAGCACAGTAAGGAAAGGAGGCTAAATTGAAGCCAATTGGGACCAATTCGACAGCCATCTTGTGGCCAAGCCTCTCGTGGTCAAGGTGTTCGCCGCCAGGTAACATTGAAGGGAATCTTTCCGTCTTATGCTTCGTATGGCGCTCTGGCCTAAGGTGATAATGAAGAGATAGCAGGTATTGGCCAAGCAAAAATGCAACAAGTTTTCGCCAATGGAAAAGGAGGAGGAATCGTTTTAAATGCCTAAGATAAGTAGGCAAGGCGGATCGCTCAAGCAAAAAATTGTATCAGTGCTGCCCTGGAAAGGCGCCCAACACTTGTTCACGTGTCGGGCGGATGTGGCAGTGAGAGACCATGTGACGCGACTTAGACGGACAAAATACATTTTGTTCGGATCTGAGTGTTACATCATAAGGTACATCTACTTTGCACAATTGGTCAAAATTAACTACTAGAAGTAACATCATCCAACGAAGTGGCTTAGGCACAGCTTGGAAACTCTTTGATTGAACCATCCGACTTCGGTCGTGTCACGCAAGTGTTCTGACAAAGTTGAAGAGTGGCATCCTTGTCGGACCTAGCCTGTTGCCGTGGGAACTGTGTAACCCCGACGTGAGAATGCCAGGCAGCTAGGCAAACGTCAGGGGGCTTTGGCAGACCACTTTGTACGCTGCTATCTCGTTAGGTACCTTGTAAATTAATACCAGGTTTCACTAGTTTAGAATCCAATGATCTAGGCACCAAGTCATACCGAAATCTGAGACATTTCCAATAATGCTGGAAACTTCCAAGTCTGCCTTGTGGAATTGGATGCCGAAATCGGTCTTGGTGATGTGGACTATTGAGCTCTGTCGAGGATTCGCATACAAAGACATTGTATCTCAAGCCGCCGCTGTGTAAGGTAATTCAGAGAAATTCCGGTTATTGTGGTGCCGAGTCAATTGCTCTGGTCCTACACCCGGTGAACTGAGGTGCGTATAACCGCAGCCGCCTGTCTCACTTTACCTCACATGTCACAAGCATGTACAAGGTAATTTTGGTCCCTTCAATGACATTGATAGAATTTCAGTATGAAATTGCATGCATTTATAATTCTTCTCACGTAGCCGAGGGTTTCAATGTGTCAGGAAAGTTACCGATGGATGCGCAACCCCATGGCGCAGAGTGGTTAAAGGCTAAAGGTCCTAGTACTTCTGAGTCTTTTCTCATACAACGGCAGGAGCTTGAAGACTTCAAGTGAGCTGCATTTAGGTTCAACAATTGCGCGTGTTTTAAGCTTTGTGAGGACTGGGATGCATTCTATTTGTAGTACGTAGGTAGACAGAGATATGCGGGAAGATCACTCTTAGATTATACGTCAATAATGCAACGACCCCTCCTTTCTCTTCACATTCATACGATTTATTGAGTCATGACCTAGATACGAATTTGTTTCACCGATCAAGTCTGACGTTCCCGGAAGCATGAAACTCGTGATAATCGACACACATGAGCTGATCATATGTTTTCGCGTCTTGTCGCTTTTCTAAATTCCAGTCTCCTCGAATTGGAAGTTGAGCTAAGAAAGCCTCAATATGGTCATAATCACAGCAAGTTGCACCTAAAATACAGGTAATCAACCAATCTCACGTCGATAATCAAGTACTTGGGTTCCCGGGAGGCCTCTTTTGTACAAAGGCATGAACGCTTGTGCGGAGGGCTTTTACAAATCTGTGGCCTAGTTGTCCAAACGATTTTCCTGTCCAACATCGGAATTAAACGTGGCTGTGTTTCATCAGGTGAGGGTGTTGACCGAACGTATCTCTCCATAACTTTGAAGTGCCCGTACCTACAGTTGTGCGCATGGCGGAGGAACCACGAAGGCGCACATGAGGCTTGCGGGCGTTTCATCGGGGATTTTGTCGCAGATCGCTGGCCACTGATAATAGCCCCATCGGTGTGCTCGCGTGCGCAATCACAGCCAGTAGCACGTAATACCGCGCTCATATACAATCAGGCCTAAGATATGACCTTGAAAAGCGGCTCCATACGGAGCGCGCTGTTGTTACAAAGACTTCAACTGGAAATGGGCTCGATCAATAGACTTCACAAATTGACTACCTACATTGAATAAGTCAATGTTGGAACCGTTGAGAACTTGACAAGTGAGCCATAGGAGTCTTGAGGAAAGTCACAAGGTGCATTAAGTTCAAGAACTACATTTCCCTACATTGCAAGGTAAGTAGCATGCGTAATTCCAAGGAAACAGTGAACTGACGAAATAAAAGCCGGGGCTGACTGAGCCATCACTCTTGGCTACTGGTTGAGTTGTGACAACAGGACAGGACCTTTGTGGAATAACTAGTCTTCAGCGCCTGCCGCAATGCCCTTTCCCCACAGTGCGGAACTGAATCATCTCTCACCTAAACATTTGATACTAAATTTCCATCAGTTTCAACATCTTGCAAGTCATGGGTTCCGCTACTTGACCAGTCTGAGGTCTGGAGGCCTAAGAAAGCAGTTGTCAATCTCTGGACATGTGTACGTGCTTGGGATTGTATCTTCGAGACTCGGTGAACAAGACTAATGCACTGGTCAACATGAAGTGTCAATGCGGGCAACACGGACAGGAAATACGCGTCGAGTGTTGCAGGTGCTGCGGTAAACCTCGCTGCTTGTACTGGCCAGTCAGCCGCGTACGCGCAACATGATGGGAACATCTCGTGGCATGATGCTGTCGCATTACATGCACAGACATTCGTCTATAAGTAGTCCATTCTCATCGGGCTTTTGTATCTATAACAATGACCAGCGCCATGACTGAGAGAAAGATTGATCGTTTGGTATTCACATTACGTCCTATACCTTAATTGAGGCGACGACTACCACATTATCTATATCATATTTCGCTATTCCCACACATTCTGCAACTAATTAAATTTCTATTGCTGAGGCCATTTTGGCAAATTCTTTCATTAGACAACGTGTATTGCTGTCAACCAAAGGTCTGCTTTCTGCGAAAGCGTTCACCAGCATTCAGCTTGCCATATCTACGAAGCATCGGGCCCCTTCTTCACTCTCAACAACTGCGCCCAGTCAATAGCGCCATTTTTGCAGAATTCTTTGTCGATCTTGCAGCAGCCACCGTTGAAAGGAATCTGCAACAATGCGTTCGGCTGTTTAACCTCAGTGTTTCCCTTTCCTTTCTCCTCCTTACCGCCGATCCAGATGCCGCAGAAGTCGTCTCGGCCGCCGAATGTTCTCAGAGTGCAAGCTTTGGGGTCGATCTCCACCACGGCACCGTCCTTGCCGCGTGTGGACCAGATGTTGTTTTTCCAGCTCATCTTGGGGCCGTTGAGGGTATCGGCGTCTTCTTTTGTGTTGCCGAGGTGCGGGCATTCTGAGCTTGCCACGGCGAAGACGTCTGCGCACTGGTCGGTGCAACTTTGAGCGACAGAGTGGCCGGCCAGCGCGGCGATGAAGAGAAGAACGGTAGAAAGGGAATGCATGATGAATACAATTTATTGTAGGGAGCTTGGCTTTTGATTGATTGAATACTCAAGGTCGTCCTTAATAGAGAAGAAGGAGTGATTTCAGTAAGCTGTTGATGTACTAGCTGAGATTTCCCTACTCTGGCTACTTATATAACTAGAACTATTAGGAGTCTATAGAAGTCCGACGTATCAACGGGACTCTGCGCCATTGCCGTCATGACCGAGTTTCCTACGATAGTTTGATTGCATGGGCCTCTCCCGACGGTGGATGGAGACGCAGGAATTCCGAGATAATTGTGTTTCGGCTTGGGTGAGATATGACGCCCAGACGTTGAAAAGGTTTAGTTAATTACATGACTGTACTTATAGTATGATCGCAAAAGCTAATATAAGTGCGCAGCCGTACCTGACAGTTGACACACACCTCATAAGCCCCGGCTGTTCTCAGCTCGGTCCAGTTGGTGATCCTGGATACGGCTGGGCGTTTATCCTCAACTGCGCCGATGTAAAATAGACTTCCCGTCAGTTCCATGCACCGAACAACCTTGGTGGTTGCAATGAACGGCATCTCCGTGCGTTGGTTCACTTTCTACAGTACAGTATATATTACAAAGTCAACATCATTGGGAATAATCATTGTAAATGGGTGCCGGCATTCTCGGCTCCAAGGCTCCACCGACCATTTGACAAAAGTTTATACGCGATGTTCGATTTTGCAGGCGGAGAGACCGAATCAATCATCACCGGTAACTTTTTGACTTTTCGAAGCTATTATCTGTGTCATAACTCGCCGTATGCTCCATTCGTGTCTCGGAATTTGGGCCGAACGAGATGGATACGAGCTTTGTGGGTGACGACGTTGAAGCTCTTCACATAGCAAGTAGCATTGTAAGTTGATGAGAACTGTGTCTTGAGTACTGTGATCACTATTTAAGCGCCTGCCCGTTAGCCGACTTCGGGTCCAAGTCTCACGCATATTCAACTTCTTCAAGAAGCATCTGCTCTCTGCTTCCACACTCATTTGACCACCTATTCGTACCATTTCTAGCAATGCGGTCCATGATCTTTTACTGCCTCGCGGTTTTCTGCGGCCTCCTGTGCCTCGGCCACTGCGACGAGCTCGACGACGCCGGCTACAGCGTCAGCAACAGTGGCGACAAGTGGACAGTATCGTCAGGCGGCTACATCATCAACGAGTTCCGCATCGACGGCAACCGTATCAAGGTCGACTTCGTCGCCAACGGCTTTGACGAAAAGGGCGTCTCCCTGCGCGACATCATAGCTCGTGTCTGGGGACGCGCGGGAAAATGGCTGTCCGACCTCGACTCTGTCCAATTCGTCGACGTCATGGAGTACAGGGCCATGAACTCGATCGCGCAGGCCCGGCAGATGCGCGGTGTCGGACCCAAGACGAGCTTCCAGATCGACATGGGCGAGATTGGATGGGGACAGATCACCGATAACCCGTTTTACTGGCACGTTCACAAGATGTGCTGGGAGTGGAATAGTATGGAGGGCAAGGACGTCACTGGGGCGTATGTTTCGAGTTTGGAGGACTCGGAGGGGATTCAGCCGGATGACTTGATTTTCTACATTGCTGAGTATGATCAGCCTTCGCCGAGAAAGTAGACTGAACGCCGCAGTTCGCGTAGAAGATTAGGTGAATCTTCTTTGTAGCCCTGAACCTACCTATCTGGCATGGAAGAGAAAAGCAGCCGATAGGCCCTCACAGTCGATCAGACATAGGTACTTGTGTTGGATATCGAGGCAGAAAAGGGGTCTAGGTAGACAGTTAGGTAGGGGAGGCAGGTAGGCAATTTGGGCCCGTGCAGACGGACCCTTCCACCTACTTACACCCACTGAGGGATCGCAGGCTCTGCCCACGATCTTCCCCTTCTACATACCTAATACGCGCGAAATAGACCGACCTATTGACCTCGTCGCGATCGAAAGGTCTGACCTGCCTACGTGTATACTAACAACTTGGAATGCCTCGAAAGCTAGTAGATAGAAGTCGCCTACAAGCGGTCATAGGGGATCGGGACTGGTTCAGTCATAATTAGACCACGTTCTACCGTGTATTAATTTACTGCACTGCTCCAATGATAACTAACTGTGATTCAATGGCTTTCGAGTAGCTTACATCTTTCCCATTCTTCTCGGTGGTACCTTCGCCACGAAGAGACGGTCAATCTCATCAAAGGTCTTGCCCTTGAGTTCGGGGACGTAGAAGAAGCTTCCCACAGTACCAATCAACGCCAGTCCACCAAAGATGAATCCAACCTTGCCCTTCAAGTTGCCCTCATCCGGGTTGACCATGTAAGGAATCGCGAAGTTCATTGCCAAGCCACAGATTGCTTGGGTAGCGGTAGCGAGAGCCATAGTCTTTGCGCGCAGAACAGAGCTGGAAGCCTCGCCTAGGATGGCAAAAGCCATGGCACCAATGGTCATGAAGTACACAAAGGCGTAAATGACGGTGCAGGCGGCTTGTACCCATTTTGCGGCATCAGTTGGGACGACGTCCATGATGCCGATGAGTAGGAGGAGCGTTGTTAGGGCTCCCATGCCGGAGATGAAGATCTTCCGGCGGCCAAAGGACTCGATGACGAACCAACTGACAATGTTTCCAAGGACACCGCAAGCCGTGACGCCCACGCCGAGGTCGAAGGATTTCGAGACGTCGAGGCCGGCAAGTTGGAAGAAGTATGTCGAATATCCGAGAACAAAGATAATACCAACCTTTGTGCAGACTCAGTCAGCAAACAGTCGAGAATGTCTAGGTGAGAAAGAATACTTACCAAGTGCTGGCAAAGAAAGACACCTGTTGAGATGCCTGTCCGAAGAAGGTTGGTGCCCTTGAAGCAGTCGACAAATCCAAGCTCATGTGTTTGGTTCAAGTTCTCCTCCTCAATTGTTGCCACAATTCCAGATAGCCTGGAGTTAACGTCGTAGTCCTGTCCATATAGTTTCTTGAGTGACTTTGCTGCTTGCTCGAGTTTGTCCTTGCGGGCAAGGTACCATGGGGTCTCGGGCGTGAAGGGCAAGAAAACGGCGAGGAAAAGGACGAAGAAGAGCTGGGTGGCGAAGGGCCCACGGTAGGCCCAGCGATCGGATCTTTCTCCAAAGGCCTTGACAACAGCGTTGGACAAGAGCTGGCCAATGGCGATGCCCAAGTTAACACCAGCTGTGGCATATCCTCGAAGAGCGACGGGAGCTAGCTCACTGCATGCGAGGGGTGCAAGCGTAAGATAGAAACCGAGTCCCAGGCCGAGGATCAGCTTGGAGCAGAGGAAAGCTGCCCTGGTATCTGAGAGGATCTCGCCGACGCAGCCACCAGTGCAGATGACGACGCCGATTAGGAGGGAATTCTTGCGTCCGATTCTATCTGCGAGCCAACTGCAGGCAAAGCCTCCGAAGAACTGACCGACGGTGCTGATGATATTGAAGGCAGACTGCCAATCCGCGGGGAGAATCGCTTCGCCGTCGAGTACATATCTGTTGAGTCTCTAGTTAGTCTTTGCAGTTTTGCGAGGATGATGGTTTGGGCCAGGAGATTGCGTATGGATCCGTACCCAAAGTCTCTCCTGAAGGATGCGACGGAAATCATGGCACCGTTGATCTGCGCATCAAACCCCCTAAAAGTCGCGTAGTCAGCCAATTGCAACTCTTGGAGGTCATCCTGTATGTTTTACCATCCGATGGCGGCCATTGCCCAGTAAAAACACCACCAGACAATGGCTTTGTGGTTCTTGAAGACTTCTCGCACAGTGAGATCATGCTCCTGCTGGTTGGTCGAACCGACGGCCATTCCCTTGGCATCATGATGGGAAACACTTGCTTCCAAGTGATCCGAAACGTCGTTCTTCTCTGCCATGTTTGATGGGATTTGCCACAGAATGTGACAAACTTCGATTGTGACTCGATGTGGAAACTGAAGATGGCTAACCAGGGTCGAGGAGCGGCGGAGACTGGGGAACAAAAGGATGATCACCAGGAAATCTGGGGAAGTCTTGGAGATTATATCCTTTGCCAACTCCTCATTTACGGCAGTCAGGTTGCTGGAACACCCTATTCGTGATGGTGCTATAATCCCGAGCAACCTCAGTGTGTTGAGGTCATTCGGATAGTTCTTGCTGAACCCCTTGTCCAAGGACAACAGGACGGATGGCGTATGAGCGACATTCCGCGACTAGTCAAGCCACAGTCAGGCGAACGAACGCCCAATATGGCAAGGTCAAGGAATGGCTCGTGAAGAAAATCAGTCCACGCGCCTCCGTGTTGGGCCGAGACCACCGCCCTCGAAAATCCGAGAGCGTGGAACGGCAGGTATGTATCCTCGGGCTGTTGTGGAGCCCCAGACTTTCCCCGCAATCCATTTCTGGCTAGCCCGGCAAGAATCTCCAGACGGCGAAGGAAAGAACATTAAAAGCGACACTCCGCGACACTTTCCCCCGTCTTTTCTCCAGCTTTCCACCTCATCCAACATCTCATTGCAACCCACAAACCGCCTCCCAGAAGTAGTGTTATTCATCCCCCACAAATTTGAGCCATTGTACGCCTGGCGATCCTTTCCTTCTCCTGATGACAGACCCATCTGCCCCGGACAGCCACGTGCCGTCGGCCACAGACGCGTCTGACCTAGACCGGAGTCGGCCGGAACAGTCCACGTCCAAGACCAACACTCGACCAGCAGCACGCGGAACCGCATTCTATCAGCGGAAGAGAGCCGTCAGGGCATGCCAAGTATGCCGGGCTCGGAGAACGAAATGTGACAATCTCAAGCCATCATGCTCTTTCTGCCTCAAGGTTGGAGCTACTTGCATCCAGTCGCCCGTAGACCTGTCCAGCTTCGACCCGGCTAGTCTCAAGATCTTGGAAAGACTCGATGACCTGGAAGAGATGATGAGATCGGTGACAGTTGATGGACTACCGAGCAACAAAACGCGAGTGGTCGAGGCCCCTGTCGAGCACCGGACAATAGAAGCACCTCCTGTGGGGCCTCTCATCCAGATGGGGATGATCCTCCCTCCGAGGCCAGAACATGTCCTGTCATGGGCCATCTTTGAGGAGATTAGCCACGGCATTGATGCTGGAGACATGACTCTGCATGTTGATCATATCTCGATAGCTGCGAATTCTCCAATGTCCCTCATCGGCGCTCTCGACCTGGAGCCCCGACGAATCAACGACTTGCTCGATAGTTTCTTCAGCTACGTCCATGTCAAGAATCCGATTCTTGACGAGACAGCAACGCGAAAAATGGTCTCACATACCGTACTTGAAGGGATCAACTGGTCGGCTGAGTCCTGCCTTTCTCTCCTGATCTGCGCATTAGGCTCTCTGGCCACACCTTTTGGGCCCAGCCAGGAGACGATGCTGGGCTCCGCAGCCCACAGCGACGCTCAAGCTTTCTTCCAAGCCGCGCAGAAGCGACTAGGAATTTTACTGTCGTCGGATGAAATTATTGCGGCTCAATGTCTGTTTCTTTCAGGGGTCTACATGATGTGCGTATTCCAGCCTGTCAAGGCGTGGAGGTACTTCGTGCAGGCGCTAGCTAGCTGTCAGCAATTTTCGTTTCTTACCCCCGAGGCCCAGCAGCGCTACCATAGAAACGTTGAGTCGGGCGACGAGTCACGGAATTACTCCATCGACACTCTGCAGCAGGCTGTTTACTGGTCCTCATGGAAATCCGAGCGAGAGATGCGAGGGGATCTCTACCTCCCAGACTTCTCACTCAGCGATCAGGAATTGGCATTTTACCCGCCCTTCTTCCCGACGCCGCCAGCGCCTAGGGCAGAAGTTGAGGCGGCAACGGATCCGCGTCTGGCTCGCGAGAGAACATCATGGTACTTCTACTTGGCCGAAATCTCTCTCAGAAGGCTTGCCTCTCGGATTAGTGCCGAGATGGTGGGCCTTCAGAAAGAACATCCCACGCGCCAAGCATACCTCGCGGCAATGGCCGCGGCAGTGCCGCAGTACGAGGAGCAAGCACAAGAGTGGATAAGCTCGCTTCCTTCCAGTCTCTCATTCGCCGAGCCTCCGGAAGAGGATGATGTGTGCAGATTCGTGCTCCGAGGTCACGCGGTGAACCTTTATGAGGTGATATACTGGCCATTTACTACCGCTTTCCTCGATGCACTTGGGGCGAACCCCGAGTTCGCTGGCGAGGTTCTTACTCCAAGTGTGGAATCGTTGGCTCAAAAAGGTCTCGAAAACCATGCTTATCGACTCGCCATTAATCGTCTAGGGTACAGACATCGCCATCATGGGACGCTGCCCATGATGCGATCCTGCTCTCGAAGCGCTCTGGTGTTGGTTGCGGCAGCATTGCTCACCCAGTCTAGCGGTACTGAAGGTAGACATTTCCTACCAAATGATTGGTATGGCGCCGTAGGAGAGGTGGTTGATCTACTTGCATTTTGGGAGTGCGAAACGCGCGAGATGGAGCTTGTTCGTCGCGTCTTGGACAAGGCATGTGGGATGATCTCGGCACCATCCCCATCGGCTTATCGTTTACGGGTTTAGTCGAGGCTATTTGTCGGGTATCTTGATCTTTGTCCATCAAGGGTCTTGGAGCTGACTACCGACAATACTACATCGATTCACTCATGCTAAATGCAACTCGATTGATACTCCGCTTGACACAACGTGGAACCTGGAAATGTTGTGGGAAAGTCATGTTGTCACTTGGTCGACACAGAGCGAAGACTCCCACGAATGTCAATCGGCAGCTCCTGGCGCCTCATCGGTCAGAGTCTAGCTCCACCTCATGCGCAAATCGCTGTACCCCAGACTCTAGTTGGTCCAGTCGGGCTGATTCACATGCGGGATTGATGGAGAATGTGTTTTAAGGCAAGCCCCACATCAACCCACCTTCGCGGAGTGTCGCTCTTAAGACGGTGAGGGGGGCAGCCGGACGCTCACTTAGCCATGCGCGATGAGAGCAGAACAGAGCCTCGATACGATTTCATGATTGGGCCATACTTATCAAATCGGTCCACTATGTAGTCTTGGTCACGATGCTGATGGGTATAAAGAACCGTCCTCAGAAAGACCGACAATCAGCAACATCATATCCCCAAACCCAGAACCTCACATCCGCTCATAATGTCGGCCGCCACATCTAACCCCCCTCTCACGATGCTTCGCGTCAAGGGAACTAAGATTGTCGACGAGAATGACAATGAAGTCATCCTCAAGGGCGCTGGCCTCGGTGGCATGCTCAACATGGAGAACTTCATCACCGGGTACGCCGGTCACGAGCACGAACATCGCGCTGCCTTGGAAGAAGTACTAGGCAAGGAAAAAGCCGACTTCTTCTTCAACCGTCTCATCCACCATTTTTTCACAGAGGCTGACGCCGCCTTGTACGCACAACTGGGTCTCAACTGCTTGAGGATACCCTTCAACTACCGTCATTTTCAGGATGACGACAACCCGAGCGTAATTAAGCAGACCGGCTTTGATCTTCTCGATCGCCTCGTCAATATTTGCGCCAAGTACAACATCTATGTCATCCTGGACCTCCATGCGGTCCAAGGTGGGCAAAACCAGGACTGGCACAGCGACTCAGGAATCAGCAGAGCACTTTTCTGGGAGTTTAAAGACTTCCAGGATCGCGCAATTCAATTATGGGAGGCTCTCGCCCGTCACTACGCCGGGAACAAGGTCATTGCGGGATACAACCCCCTGAATGAGCCAGCAGACCCTGAGCACACCCGCCTCATCGCATGGTACGAGCGCGCCGAGAAGGCAATCCGCGCTATCGACCCCGACCACATCCTCTTCCTGGATGGCAACACCTACGCTATGGACTTCTCTGCCTTCTCACCAGAAAAGACACTGCCCAACAGTGTCTACAGCTGCCACGACTACAGCATGATGGGCTTTCCCCTTCCCGAGCAGTACGACGGCACATCTGAACAGAAGGAGAAGCTGCGCACAAGTCTTAAGCGTAAGGTGGAATTCATGCAAAAGGCCGGTGTACCCATCTGGAACGGCGAGTGGGGTCCCGTCTACCAGAACCCGAAGACGGATCCCGACGCCGAGGCGACCAACGAGAAGCGCTTCGCGTTGCTTAAGGAGCAGCTCGCCATATACCGGGAGTTCGACGGCATCTCATGGAGCATCTGGTTGTACAAGGATATCGGCTATCAAGGCATGGTCTACCTTGACCCAGAGAGCCCGTACATGCGCCTCATCCAGCCATTTGTTGAAAAGAAGCAACGGAACGGTCTTGACTTTTGGGGTTGCGCAGACAAGAGCGCCATCGACAACGAGGTCTACGCGCCGTTTATCGAGAAGCTGAAGAAGCAAATTCCCGCGCACTTGCTTAAGAAGAAGTACCCCAAGGTGTGGAACTTTGACAGGCAGGTGGAGCGTGTGGTACGGGAGTGCTTAATGAGCGAGTACGCCGGTTGGGAGTTTGCGGAGCTGTTCAAGGGCAAGACGGAAGATGAGCTCGAGGAGCTAGCGGCTAGCTTTGCGTTGGAGAACTGCAAGACGCGCGATCGCTTGAACGAGTATTTGAAGGAGGATGCGGTGACAGCAAATGGGAAACTCACGAATGGGACTAATGGCTACACATGATGGAATTCGACTCTGAAGATAGACGATTGCATGTGAAATATGGACATTGAAAGGATCTGGGCCTTCTTGGGAGAAAACGTAGGATCTAATATTGCACAAGACTACCATGCTAAGCCACAAGATTTTGTGTGTTGGCTGCAAATATTATCCACCTCTTGGGCTTGGCGGCCATCAAGGTACCTACTCACTCATCTATGTTTTCACAACGCTTGTTTAAATCCGAATTGCCCACATTCAAAGTAATGAAGATTTCAGCCGATAGAAGTGAAGCCACTCTTGATAGTT